TGGTTCATTCTGTCATTTGATCAAGTTCTAACTTCACATGTTTGAGGCAGATATGTTACAGTGAAAAATCTGAGTGTAGAAGGTGAAATGTGATGACCAGAAGAGATTAAAGCATAGCTTATGAATTCATACATGTTGAATTTGTTGGTCAGTGCTCCTTTTATTATGGTACAAAAGCAGCTCTAAACAGGGGGCGGGGATTTAGTCTAGATTTAAAGGAACTCTGTGTTTCGGCTGTTTTGCAATTTTCGGAAAGTTTGTTCCAGATTTGTGGTGCATAGAAGCTGAATGCTGCTTCTTCATGTTTGATTCTGGTTCTGGATGCAGAGCAGAGTAGAAGACCTGAGAGGTCTGGAAGGTTGATACAACAATCGTAGATCTTTAATGTATTGTGGTGCTGAGCCGTTCAGTTATTTAGAAACTAACAACAGGATTTTAATGTCTGCTCTGTCAGTGGAGTGGAAGGACTTTAGAACTAGGCAATGTGCTCTATCTTCCTGGTTTTAGTCAGAACATCGACAGCAGCATTCTGGATCAGCTTCAGCTGGAGGATTGATTTTTTTTTATCCAGACCTGAGACCTGTTTTCAGTTCCAAAGCTGCAGTAATCAATGTGACTAAAGACATGAGTGGATGAGTTTCTCTAGATCCTGCTGAGACATTAGTCCTTCAATCCTGGAGATGTTCTTCAGGTGATGGAAGGCTGATTTTATAAAGCAATGGTTTCACGTTGTAAGGTGAAATGATTGCAGTAGGAGAGTGTAGTACATGTGAGGAAAGTCAATATGGAGTTACACAAAAACAAAATGGAACCAGACCAAGACCTTAACTGTCGGGAAACAAACACATAAAGCAGACAGATTACAGCAGGCTTTGTAACTATGATGAGGCTTTGCCTGTGAAATGATTGATTCATAAAATCCACAGTCTGTCACCCTGTTTGCATATATTATGCATTTCAGTTTTCATCTTTTTGGGTGTAGTGTATGACTTCAGTGCACATGCAGTAGTATTAGGCTTCAGAGTTTAAGTTCCACATTTACCTCCAAGACTAATGCGCCAACTTAACCATACGACCATCTTTTTCCAGTTTATGCACCAGAATAAAGCCTTTGATACCAGTTTGATGCTTATTGAAGGCAATAAAAGACTTGATGGAACCACTGAATTTGCAGGCCATCTGTGTTAGAGCAAACATTTCACATTCTAAGCTGTTGCTTTTTATTCCCAAGAAGCAATAAATGTGCCAATAACAGAAGATTCTATTCAGCTTTCTAACATTATCCATATGTAGTTTGAGGCTTTGTAACAAACATTATGATTATGTTGATTTAATAACACATTATTCTGTTTAACAACAGGTTCCCACTATTTAGAGTGCTTTTAGAAACTGAAGGGCGGCTTTTTTAGTCAATGGACTTTTATGCTCATTAAAAATGAGCCAAAAATCACTTGCAAAAAAAAAAAAAAAAAAAACATTTCTTCAAATATTGTCAAATATCAATATCCAGAAATATTTACGTTTAACATGGTCTCATATTTTATTCAGAATGATCACATAAAATGTCTTATTACTAAGAGCTTGTGGAGATAAAAGTACTTATTTGAAGTCTGAGAGGCTGCAGATGCTCCAAGCAGCCGTCAGCCCTGGATGCTTGCCGCTGCAGCGCCTGGATTCAAACCTGAGGCTCCAGACTTGACTTGAACTCCATTTATGTTTCAGAGCAGCAGGTGGTCACCATTAGGGGGTCATGTCAGGGTTTGGAGAAGCACACCAATCAATGACATATATCTTCTCTAAGCTCAGAGGTTCTTCAAAAGCAGCTCCTATAAACCGGAACGCTAACAGAGAGCTGCTGAATGGCCTCCTGTTTGTTATAAACGAGACTTTGAGCATCAGCTGTGTCCCTTTTGTTGGTGTGTGGAGTTCACCTCCTTTGTTTCACTTTGGGTCTGTTTTCAGCTGCCACTTATTCTTGTACTGGTACATTTTGGCATGAAAAAGATGAGAACCAACCAGAGGTATTTAGTCAAGAATGATAAGATTGAAAAATGCGCTTCTGCTTTATGAAAACCTAACATTTGTTAATCATCATCAGTTCCAGCCAGATGTGATAACTTTAATCTGTATTTCAGAACCATTATCACTCTAGCCGGTTAATGTGTGGTTTGGTTCTAGCCAATGGCGGTGTGTTCCTCACTTTTGAATGGGAACGTTGGAGCCTGAACACACAGGCACTTTGGTCGGCGCTCAGATGATGTCATGTTGTAATCTCAGGCAGCTAATATCCTGAAATTTCTCGGTTTATCTGTTCATTGCTGGTTGCTTTGTCAAGTTGACGCTGTATGTGCTCCACAAGTGCTGCCTTTGCTCATCTCGTGACAGAAATCCACAGACCAATCAATGAATCCAGTCTGCTGCCAATCAAATTGCTTGCATGCAATACCTGGTCAGGTGCGACTGTGATGGTTCCAAAACTGCGCAGGACAAATGCTGACTGGGGAAGACCCAGTTAAAGCCTTGTCATTAGAGAAAGGGTTGACTGGTTTGTTGCATGTTTTTGCAGAATGTGGGACTGCAGAGTGAGGAGAAACGCTACCATTTTTAACAGTTTGTGAGACAAATATCAGTATTTAGTGTGGATTTAGAGCCCTGTTTCCCCGGTGCCGAGGCCTTATGCCATGCCGTTGTGTTTCCAGCTGGGAGAGCACAGACCCAGCTGAGAACCTCCCCTGCTGAGAAGCATGCTGAAACAACAACTCCAGAAAAAATTGGCACCTCCTTCAGAAATTCATTTAGAAAAACTGTTCTCTGAGCATGGGGACTGGGATTGATTTCACCTTTGTCATCCCAAGAACATATTATCAACATATTCCCAGTGCCTCTGTCCTTCTGGGACAGTCTCTGTGGTATATTTAGCAGTTTCCAGAGCTAGACGGAGGATTTTCACAGTGCTCTGTCTTTGAGTCTGAATTGTGTGCTGAAGGTCAGTACTCTTCACACCCTATAGAACACGACCTGCGTCTTAACAGATGAAGAATCACTCCATTTACTCTCTAAGACTGTCCGTTCAGCCACTTTAGGAGAAATCAATGTTCTTCAGTCCCATCGAGAGAAACACTCTGCAGTTTGTGCCATTCTGACCTACAAATGACTACTCTTCTACCCCCAAAGACTTATCTACGTATCTGTACTGTATGGAGAGAGGACTTTTACAGCCAATAACTTACATGGTGCAGACAGCAAAGAGGGCAGAGGTCACATGAGTGAAAAACAGTTCTTCACAAGTTGCTGTTTTCAGTCAACATAATGTGTCAGACAATTTACACAAAACCATGACAGAAAATGGCCACTGGAATGAATTAGAAAAAGACACGTGCTCAGGAGAGACAGCTTTCTGTTGACTGTTGATGATCATTTATATGTCACTGCTAGGTGAGACCCACCTCATCTAGCAGTGACTTGTTTATTTTAAATGAGATGTGCGGCACTGAAAATCCTACAAATAGGTTTCTGTCTTGGACCGAAAGGAACGAGCTTCAAAAAGCATTCCAGCTCAGAGCCTTTTAAAGATATCTTAAAATATCTTATATCGTAAGCCTGTTACAAGCAAATAATGACATGATAAATTAAAATGAGCTTGATCATTTCCATTCTGGTGGTCAATATTCTTTGAAGGGATATGTTGTTTTCAGACGCATCATGAACCATTTTCTTTATTGTTTCAGCTGTGTTCAAATCAACAATATTATCGTTTATTGCAATAATTTTCTGTGACAATTTATTGTCCTGCAAAATGTATGATGCTGATAGGGCTACGCTATCTGAAACCTGCACATATTTCAGCTTAAATATTTAATGTCAATTTTATCCAAATTATGTTATTGTAGAATCCACCATGATTAGAGGCCCATCCAGCCCCGGGTCTGAAACATTCCAGCTTGCTGTGTGGAACCTGCCTGTAGTTTTTGGGAAAGCCCTGTGCTGGTGGGAAGCCCGTCCTGTAACTGAAGGTTCTTTATGCAGGCAGCTGCTGGACTTAATTGACAACTTGAGGCTCTCTTTTGAGCAGCTGAAAGTTCTTGGTGGTTTGATGAAAAGCTGATTTGAGTGTCGTCTTGCTGGCAGCAGCATCCTTTCTTGTGAAGCTCTTTAAACGCACATCAGCAGCACGTTTCCTCTGAAGTGAACACGGTTGACAAAAGAACAATTTCTAGCACCTTCGTCTGCTCTGCTAATTGACCATTGTTAATACTTTCCCTTGAGCTAGCAGCTAAAAACATTGAAATGAAGCCTTCAGGTCATTTTGTGGGATGGCTAATGTTTCACATGGTTAGTCGTTGGAGCTTGGATCTGGAAATAAAATCACAGCCAAGTTGACAGCAGTTTAGTTGCAATTTGCCATTTATTTTAGTGCCACTTGGTGTTTGTGATGAAAGCCCAGAAGAACAGAGTTCTGTTCATGTTAGAACACAAAAGGAACATGTTCACAAATAGATATTTTGCTGCACTGTTGTTGGCTCTGGTTTAATCAAATACAAATTGTAAGACATGCTACAAAATAATTTATGCCAGCAACTTTTACTACATTCTATATCCTTAGCAACCATGCTGGAAACTAAACTGAGAGCTGCTTGGCAATCTTGATCTTTCTCAGGCGTAATTCCAACGTCCGTGGGATGTTTTTGTTGTTTTTCCAACTGCAAATTCAGAATAGCCAACTGGCAAATACGATGAGTTTTATGATTCTGTTCATTTTCAATAACTTTTATTAACTTTGCACTTGACTCCCTTTAATCTTATTATTCTTCATAACAATGTAGAATCAATGAAAAACATCACCAATAAAAACAAGGAAACAGCAAAATATCTTCTCAAACTTGTTTATTTGTATGTATGTAACCACAAAAGAATTTCGTCATCGCAGTGTCCAAAGCTTTGTGTTGGTTTTTCTTTTGTAATCTGATCAATTGTTGTTGTTTTTTTCTTGGTCTCTACAGAAATTTACTTTACAGCCTTCCAGGAAAAACTCCTCAGTTCTCCATCCTCAAGTTCTCCCCAGATGTGGTTCTGCACTGCAGCGTGACGAGCAAAGTGGCCAAGCACTACGCTCTAAACAAGGACGCCTTCTGCCACAGTGCCAAGAACCAGTCTCTGTCTCTGATCCTCAGGGCGCTGCGCTCGGCCGAGAGGCTGGTTGGCTTTGGGTTGGACCTGTTCCAGAATTACCCAGGCGCCACCAAATGATTCTAATGCAGATGTAAAGAGCGCCTCCTCTACCAATGTCGAAAATCACTCTGAGGTTCAAGAAAGAATGAAATTTACAGTTTCAGCTACTTTTTTTTAAAAATCCAAATCATGCAAAAACAGATAAAAAAAAAATATTATGAATGTATCAGATCTAACTTGTTGCACTACTATTTGTTATGCAAATGATACAGAAAAGTGGGTCTGCTTAAATTGCACTAATCTGTCTTCCAACAAGTTTGAACCAAAAGGTGAATGGCTATTTTCTAAATGTTATGTTACTTTACCTGATTTTCCTTTTAACACTTGCTCCACTTGATGTGGAAGTTTTTTTCCTTCTCACTAAACAAATTCCAGCACTAAATGTACAAAGAAAATGAAAGTAGCACTTCAGAATCAATGTGAGGTTGAAAAGAAAATCAAATTTCAGTGTTTAAAAGCAAAGAAAATGGAAGAGTATTTGAGTTTCTCTTTAAAGTGTAGCCTTGGTGAATTAACAGAATATATTTAACACTTTAAATCCTTTGAGCACTGAAGTGTGTTAGGCTGTTCACCAATAAAACACCAAGAAGCCATTTTGTTTCTGAAGGAGACTTTGCTTTAGGAAATCCCAACTCTCTCCAGATAGATGATGGTCTGCATTTGAAGTGAAATAAAATTCAAGTTGGAAAATAATGTTTTTCTTTAAAAAAAAAAAAAAATCTACCAATCTGTTAATGCGACAAACAAAAGCCATCCTAGTAAAGTAGAGTAAAAATCACTGTGAGCTAATCCATATTTATTGTCAATATAGTTATTTTAACCTCAACCACATTACGTGATTTTTTTGTATTATTTGATCATCAGAAATCCTTTAAAAAGGATTTTCCAGATTTTATTTTAAAAAAAAATTAACAGGCCTTTAAGTTTGTTGTAGTTAGGCATGATTTTTTGAAAGTTTTTGTGCAAACCATTTAATAAAATAACTTAATGCTAAGAAAAGAATAATATATTTTAATGTATTTGTAGTACAGTTTCAAGGCATGATGATTGTTCTAGTCTATTATATTTTATGATGGTTTTCTTAGTGCTAATTAGTTGTGTTCATGTGAATGTATTCCAGGAAGCCAGCTGGAAAATACACAAAAATACTTTTTAGGTTTTCTAGGAAGAATTTCTTAGATTGATGTATTTCCTGGTTGTTTGTGTTTCTATAGCCATGATGATGCGTTAAAAACTTTAGATTTTTGAGTCTTTGCATATATTGTCTTTTTTAAATAGATGTGCATACATTTTTAAGAAAGTTTGATAAAGAACATTTTGTAAGTTAGACCGATTATTGGTATGCAACTACCAAACTTTTGAATGCAGAAATTTACAGTAATGAAACAACAAAATTATTGTCAGGGATATATTAAACAGCTTGTGTGCCTTTAATAAGGAGCTTTCTTGAGTCTGTTAAATATTTTACCCCCCCAAAAAATTCCTGTAATCTTTGGCAATATGAGGTTTTCACATTAACCTGTGATTTGCATGTAGTTTCCTCCCAACCCTGGTTTTTCTTCTTGCTTGTAAAATTGCATGGAAATACAAATTCATGTGTTTTTTAGTACCTAAAAAGTGCAACTTTTAATTCCGATTTGTCTTGTTCCGTTATTCTTGCAAGTGAGACAAATAAACACTGGAGTGGTAAGAGCAGGGGCTGAAAATTCCAGCGTACACCAACAGATGTCGCCATACTCTATAAACTCCACCTTTAACAAGGTGAGTGAAAATTGGTTTGCTGTAAATTTGAATCAAATTCTTATAAATGTTTTCTTTGCTGGAAAAAAACAGTTATGTTTTTTTTGTTTGTTAGGTTTTGTTTTGTACAAACATAACAAATTATTGTTATAAGAAGAAGGACTGTCTTTAGACACTGTTGGTTTGTTGGTCTGAAAACCCAGGCATCACCTTTTTACTCTCCTGGGTATTGGAGTTATAGTTCTTGTTTGCTTGTGTGCCATTTGTTCTTGATGGCAGTGTTTTATGTCTTTTTCAGGTTTGTGAACTGGATTTTGTCTGTCTCATGTTTCTCTTGCTGTGTTCCAGTAAGTCTGTATGATTTTGAAGTGTAGGTTCAAAATCCAGTCGGTCCTAAATGTCATGCTGAGTGGAATTGTCAGTAGTCTGAAAATCATTCACCGAAAAAATACTGTACCTATATGTCTCTTTGTAGGCAAAATCACTTTAAATAATGGTATGCATGCTTTAATTTATGTTAGGACAAAAAATGTCATGAGTATATCATCAGGTTATGATACTTGGTAGTGTATATTTATTTTTCTCTCTTTTTAGAATAATTGCACAAATTTATTGTTCTTTCTACACGGTGGAAAATCAATGTAAAGTCTGATATTTGCTGTGTTGCGTTGACTTTAATTTTTTCAAGGTAACTCTGTGACATAGGTTGGATTTATTCTGAGTGACAACAGTTTGGAAGTCCAGCCTCAGGCAGCACAAATACAAACAGGACATTAAATCTAACTTTGTTCATACCATAGTTAGATCCTGAACACTGGCCTTTAAATTATACAACGTAAATCATAATGGGATAATTTCAGAGACTTAAGCAGAGTTTCATCCAAACACTATTTTGGCATCAAACATTGTATACATTTATATTTAACTAGTAAATGCAGAAACCCAAAATAGACGTTGGGACCCAACTTGAGGTCATTTAAATTATGAAGAATTTAAATTAAGAATTCTTAATTGTTAATTTAAGAATAAGTGATTTGTGGTGAATCACATATGACCATGGTGAATTTGGGTTATAACCCAAATTATAACCCAATGTTAAAGATATAAAAACAGTAAGAATTGGCTTTTGATTCTGCTTTTATTGCTGTGACTGTACTCCTAGCTGGCTTAGTAGAAATGCGAACATCTCTGCACAGTTACAATCTTGGATGAAATCCAGAAAGCTAACAGACCAGCTTTATGTGCTGCAGGATGATTTGTTTGTTCCAGTTTATTTAATCAGGTTCATTCGTATGCTTTGTAATCGCATGGACAGAACACAGATCACTGTTCTTTAACAGTTTATGATAAACTTATCAATGTAAAAAAGCAAAATGAAAATTAATAATGACCCTAATCAACTGGTGTAAATGTGGTTACATACAGTTCTCAATGCATCATTGCACAACCACAGAGACATGCTACCTTTGAGAAGCCATTTGAAAAATACTTGACTTGACCTGGTGTCTGTGTAAACTATATGTAAGCAATATTAAATATGCCTCATTGTAGGCAGTTATGAAAACTGCTGTATTTGGAAAATTGTACTGCATTTGAATGATGTATAGGAGTTGGTGCCAGATTCATTGTTTCTTGTCTTGGTTTTTAAAAGTAACAGAAGTTATTGTTTCTAGCAAACTAAAAAGGCATTTGCTCTCTTACAGACTTAATCTGGTTCTGCTTTTAGTAACACTGAAACGTTTCACATCCTCAAACAAGTTTATCAGACAAATATATTGTCAGTGAAAACAAATGCATATTTAAAATTGTGATTTTTTTTATTATTATTATTTTTATTCAGGGAAGAAACTGTTCAAAGTAACCACACTCCATGTAAAAACGAATTACCCTGAACAGCTTGAGCCAGTGATAGTAACAACTGCCACACTTACTGGGTTAGACGACTTTCACACCGCTGTGGCAGAAATGTATCTCACTACATTTTGTTTAAATTGAGCCACACTGGAGGGTTTCTAAGCATGACCAGGAGGTCAGAGGTCATGCCACAATGCCTCAGTTGGATTTAAGAGCAGACTTTGACTTATTTTGTTTTCTTAAAACCAAGGTGTACTTACTGCTGTGTTTCAGATCATTGTCCAAGTTAATATTCCAAATTCTCTTCAGCTAACAGTTGCTGCATTTTCATTGATCATAATAATTGCACAATTTCACATTTTGAAAATACATTTGCTTAATAGAAAAATGGTTGTTTTGGAAAAAAAATAAAACTTGTTTTTGTTTGTTTGTTTGGGTTTTTTTTTATATAAAAAGTCTTGCTGCTAGAGTGAGGTGGGTTTTTCTTTGGCCATATTGAAACTGGTTAATTTACAAAACAGCAATGGAAACAATGTTTGTACCATATGAGTCACATGATCAGCAACCAGATGTTGCCACTGTTGCAAACCACAAAGAAGATGACAACAGGAAGTGGTCATCTTCATGTTTTTTTAATTACTTATGGTATTAACAAACTTATTCACGTGTGATTTTAATTTTGTTTCTTATTTAATGTAAATACCACAATTGTAAAATGTTTTTGTGGAGCATTCACAAAGTTTTACAGACATTTGTAATGGAAATGCAGCTACTAATTAGTGGTCTAATGGATGTACTCTGTTAGGATTTTCTGGCTGAAAGTAGAATTTCTGGTCCTATCAACTCCAAGTCATCCAGTTCCCAAAGCAGAAAGCAACCCCAGACCATCACCGTGTCACCATGCCTGGTATGATATCGTTTTCTGAAATGATGTGGTAAATTTACTCCACTTGTCAGAGGTCACACACCTTCCACTTTTGTCTCTAAAGTTTGCAGAAATGTAATAGCAAAAGTCAAAATGTTTCTTGGTAAATATTTGTTTTGGTCCATAGTGGTTTTAGCCTTGGAATGGATGTAGCTTTAGACCAGTCTTTCTTAAATCATGAACACTGACCTCACCTGAGGCAAGTGAGGCCTGCAGAGTTCAAGATGGTTTTGTGATCTCCTGGATCAGTGTATTATTTTTCTTTTGAAGCTGTTCTTGAACGATTTTAGAGTCTGCACAGAGTATAAAGGGCAAGGATGGAAGTTCCAAATAGTGTAGGAGAGAGTGAACAGCCACTGCAAAGATGAGAAAGTGAGTGATCTTAAGAAGCCCAGTAAAATTTGAATGCATTTAAAGTAATCCAACACTCCAGAAACAGTTTAGAGTATGCAAAGGTAAAAAAAAAAAAAAAAAAGGGGAAAAAAAAGGTGTGTTTTGAATTTCCTTATATCAGGGAATGATGCATCGCTTTTTTAAAATAAAAACTATTTTATAAGTCTGCAGGTCTGGCAGAAATCAGGGTCAGGTGTGGTCAGTGTTATTGAACTGAAAATATGGTTCTTCACTGTCAATGGTTGGGGTCACTTTTCTATATAGGCTGTTTTGTAAAGCATTTTTTAAAAACTGCATGTTATATTTGCTCAGGACATTTTAGTCTAATATTAAAATCTGTCTGATGTAAAACATTTACATAAAAAAATTGTAAAGGCAAAATAGTTCTTTTTTTTATATGTACAAATGTGTCTCAGCATTTCTTAAATGTACCATTTGACAAACCAACAATAACTTTGAAAACAAATGCTATATTGAAATGATAGAATTTGCAAGGAGCTGCACATTACGAACAGTACTGAAGGGTGACGGGTCTCGCATACTCCAGTGTACTGTGCATATTCGTCTGTGCACACTGTGCACTTTCGGCAGAGAGTTTAGTTTTCATTGCCAAAAATTCTCATAATGAATTCCTTCATTTCCCACAATCTGAATGGATAGTAGCAAGTTTTATGAGTTGGCGCTTAGCCCCATTTCTTCTGCACTGGGGCCACACACAGCTGTCAGTGCGGCACAGAGAATGGTGTCTTTGCTACTGGTTGCAGCAACTCACAACCTTGTTGTTTCATACAAAATGGTTTGATGTGAACAATGTTTCCTGCCAAGCAATCAACCTCTATGCAGCTGTGTCCGGCGGTGAGTCCACTTCATGTTCTTGTGGACCTCCATGGAGTGAAGAACACCTGAGTATGCGGGGCCTTCAGTTTTACAGGCAGTGGCCAGAGCTTCTGACAGTCAGTCAAAGCAGTGAATTATGGGTTGGAAGTGACAATGACTCACTCTTACCACTGACTTATGGACACGTTGGCTAATCCCTGATAGCATTACTGTAATTTCCCTTGAGATGTCACATTAGTTACTTTTTGATGATGTCATGTTTTTGATGCCCTTCAAAACATGTCAGATCCTTGGAAATCCAATCATCATTGGACTGCATGTGCTCAAAATACATCCAAATCAGAGCATTCCTTCCAGATGTTTAACTTTGTTTTTGTCTGGTTTTAATGTATGACATCATTGTTGTTGGCATGTTTGGGGTATTTTATATATATTTGCACCCTTGAAGTAATTTAACAATGTTTTACAATAAAAGTATGTTTAACCCTGAGTCTGTTTTACTGTTGGTATCATACATACCATACTACACACACACATGCACAAACACAAAAATATGTATGTCCAACCATATTAGGAGTTTGTTTTTACTTCCATTAATTTTAGTGACTGCTTTTATGTTTAGCCCTAATCCTACACATTACTAGTAACCAAATTCACAACATAATTCTAAATTTAACCTCTAATGGTAAAAAAATGGATGCAACACATGAGAACAGAGCCTGATCCCCCGTAAAGCTTGTTGGACTTCAGAATGTTAGTGAATACACTAGAAAAAGTTCTATGCAGACTACAGAAATGAGAGGACACACACACACACACACGCCTACAGATACATTAAAAAGGGCTTCATGTCACTTTTTTCAGCAAACCTTTAAACTTCTGTTGTGTTGCCCTGAAAGTTGAATAATTAATGAAAAACATCTAATTGCAATAGTGAATAGTAAATATGGTTTACTACTAAGCCATATTTTCCCTCACTTTCTTTCCTTCGTTGAAACATTCACACTGTTTTTATTATGGACCAACAAGCCAGGTATTTTGGCATGACGAATTTGCATGCATCGCACATGAAACATAGCATCCTACCAAATATTGTATCAAAGCATTCTCTTGTGATGATGAAATTAAAACAAATATATTTGTCGTGATTAAATATGTTGTGCACCTCTGTTAAACTTGTATGATTTTCTCAGTTGTTTCATTGAAGTGCACCTGAGTGGACTGTCAAAGGATCTCGGTCTGCTTGGTTTGAGAAACAGTAAAGATTTTTACATGGAGTGGAGACAAACTGAAGGTGAGTCTTGGCTGGCAGCATTGTATTGAAAATAAATCATTTTTAATATACATGTAGCACCATTAAAAATGAAAACCTACATATAGTGACACCACTATAAACCAAAGGGCATAGTATAGAGGCTGTAGAGCAGGGACAAAGAGGCCAGAGGTAACCCTGAGAAAACTCCACAGCAGAGTATCAGACCAGTTCAATACAAACTGCTCACTCCAGACTTAAACACTGAGGTTTACTACAGAACACGGCTAACTCCTCAGGGCAACACCTTGAGTCAGACTTCTGGACAGCTCAACTTGGATAATTGCTCACATTTCATCCCCTGGGTTAAGGGACTTATGGTCCTGTTATTCTACAATATGCTGTATTTTTTCAGTGCATCACAAGATCCAGCTCTGGAAAGAGGTTATTTCTGTGAAGTGGATAGAGACAAGTTAAACATCGGGCACAGGAAAATGATTCTACATGTATCTCACCCCAACAGACCAAAGCAACATTATGTTGCTGTCAGACAGAAATATCTCCAAAAACATAACTTTACAAGATTTTAGGTAATGTTAGATGCTATTTTTGATGCCTTCTGCTTAAAATCTTAAAATGTATCAATAAAACTCCAGACGGAGTTGAAGGGTGATCAATAGAGTGGATTTTCCAAGAAAGCAAATAACGACAAACAATGAAAATGCAAGACTGATAACATATTGTGCCCTGAACAACAAGAAAAAATAAAACACTGATGAGCTAATAAAATTGACAAAAATTAAACTTTTTTTTTCTTTTTGGTTCTTTATCAATTTACTCGAGTGTCAGTGAGCACCATGTAAATGACTGTAGTTTCATCAACATATGTCACCTTTATATTGTCTGTTTAGAAGTCTTCCCTCTTTCTTTTGGCCCCGGCCCCCTATGTGGAAGCCTATGTGTAAACAGATTTAAGTATGAAGGAGAGAGGATGAGGAGAATTGGGGGAAAGAACACAGGACAAGCCCTCAAACTATGACTAGATATAGCCAAAAACATTACTAAGTACAGAACACACTCTTTTCACAGAACAGTCAGCATCCTTCCATTTCTGTCTTTTGTTGCATTACCAATCATTGTATTACCTCCCAGCTTCACAAGCTCAAGGACTTTGAATTGCCTTGTTGCTGAAAGTGTGCTATATAAATACAATTAACTTACCTTACCTTACATTTCTCATTATATTCCAAGGGCAGTGCTAACTCGGTACACTAGCATGGTTGCCCTCTCTCTGAGTATTACCTCTCCAATGGTTCCAGGAGATG